CCATATATATATATATATATATTAGAAAATAGCATTTAATCATAAAGAGTTTATGTATTTTAGGAATGGTATTTTTGTTATTTCAAACTCCATCCAAAACTCAATTCAAATTTAAAAAGATTGCTTTGACTTTTTGAATAATGATTGGACTTTAAAAGTAATTTAAAATTAAAATTTATATTGTTAGTGTAATTCTTATATTTATAAGGGCATTTTCTTGTCAAAAATTTCGGACTAGGAAATTCTAAGTTTACTATTAGTATAATATATCTTAGAATAACCACACACACATACTCAGAAAGACCAAAACAAGTAACAGAGAGATTTTTTTTACTAGGAACATTGAATATCATTTGTTAATGATAATAGGAGGTTACACTCTAGGACATTGGAGTGGCATTGTCTCAACTCACATCAGTACATAGACTAATATGCGATTTAATTTCCATGGTTCCTCTACACGAGTATGGCCTCATCGACATTGCCGAACAATCAAAGCATGTCTCTTTGATGCATTTCTATTGTTCAAATCAGTGATTAAAAAGATGATTTGAAATTTGGAAAATTCATCAAGTTAAATCAACCCACACATTTACGTTAAACCCTCACTCTAACATCCTATTTCTATGTTAATGTATTCCATAAATGCATTATAGGAGAGTACATTGCTTTGCTGACATAACAGATTTGAATCCACTGGAGTTCAATTTTTTTTTCCTAGCTTTTTACAAGATCTCAAAACTCAGCTGATTTTCCGACATTACTGTTTATCTCAGCAAATGGATTTGGTTTAGTAGCACCTGAGTTAACCATTGAGTTTAAGCATTGGTTCTCACCAAAATTATGCCTACCAATGGAACATCTTAAAATATAAGGGTCAGCACAAAGGGTTTTGGTGATGTTTAAATTATATTATTCCTTTTATATGCAATGCAGCTTTGATTGGAATGCTAAGTTGCACGAATAAGTCATCCCCCTTTGCCTTATTTAAATTATTTGACTTCTTTTATCCGTCTCATTTTTCAGGCATTGGTGCCACTTGTTGAAGGCCTTCTAGATGATGGTTTGAAGAAATTTGCAACCATAGCAAAAAGCTACTATTCAGGCCAACCTAAGACCTGAAAGCTTTTCCTTGCTTTGGGACCTAAGGTTCAAATTCTCTTACAATTGGATGCGATTAATTGTGCGAAGGTTAAGTTGTATCCTTTTTGTACATGCCTCTTATTAATGAACTCTATTCCTGTTCTGAATTTCCTAGTGTAAAGGTTAAATGTATCCTTTTTGTACATGCCTCTTATTAATGAACTCTATTCCTGTTCTTAATTTCGTGTTTCTCTTTAAACACTTTTGAGTGAAGTACTTTGTGCATCAAGGGATGCACATCTACAAGAGCATCCATGTAACATCCATCTCTGATATGGATGTTAGAAAATGGTAGCCTTACGAAAGTTTAAAATTGACGGTGTTAAATTATGTCAAAAATATTTTCTTTTTTTTTTTGAAATTTATTTTCTTTTCAGGTTCCTACTATCATAGTTGAGATTTTCATCCCTAAAATTTTGAATCCAAAATTCATCTATAAAATAGATTTTGGAGAGATGATTCATTTAAATAGGTGAGTCAGCCGACTAAGAGAAATCTTGTCCATACTAAAATTCCCTTATTGTTGTGCTTGAGCAGGTGGCTTGTCTGCTTGGCATGATATGGATAATGGTGCAACTTAAAGAATAAAACCCACCACTTTTCTTGAGAATGCTTCAAATAACCCCCATTTTAGCTTTATAAATCTCTTTTGCTCTTATAATTAAAAGCGTGCATATTATTCCACTTGATTATGACATTTGATGAGTGCCAATTATCATGATTGTGCAAGAAGGCATGAATATTAGGACACCCAAACGGGACCTGAGTTTCATGATTTGTTTATGAGGGGATACAGATTTGCAAATGATCTAAAAAGTGTGTCGTGTGTTTCAAATTTGAGAGGCTGATCTAGAAATAGATGGGATTTGGTTTCCGATATTTAGCATGATCCCTAGTCACCCCTTGGGCTCCTACATGAATGTAATAAATTTTAGAATATTATTTGAACATTTTAGATCATTAAAAATCAATATATTTATTTTTATAAACTCGAATTTTATAAATAAAATATCGAGGGGATCTATAAATATTCAAATAATAATTTTAAAATAATATATACCATAAAAGAAATCTAATAAAATTAATTTGATGGGAAAATGATCCATATGGTCAATGAATTAAATCAATAAATATTGGTACTCTACTTTCAACTATGGACTATAGACAACGTTTGTTTTATCATGCTGACCAAGCGTTGCCCATGATTCGCAGTCCAAGCAGGGGCTCATTAGCGGGTCACCAAAATCTAGTCGATGAGACAACACAATTGTCACACCCCAAGAATTTACAATACTGTTATTCCTGAGATGTGACAGACAAAACATATATACATCAATTGATAGGACAAATTTACAGTGGCGAGCTCTTACAAAGTAACAAAAGAAAGCTAGCACAGCAATAATATCTTCCAAGGTTGATCTTGAGTAGCACTCAAAATGAATCCGCAGTTATCCTGAAAAAATGTTTACCATAGTTTGATGAGTTTGGTTACTCAGTAAGTGATCATCATAATCTTAAAAATAATCATGATTGAAAGATATCAATATTTTCCAAAATGAGATCTATTAACAAAAATGCATCAACAGTTTCACTTTCAATAAATGCATAATTAAGTATAATCCGAGTAATTGAAATGCTTCTAACACTTTTAACGGCAGTGCATAATTCAAAGGAGTTCACAAAATACCCTACTGGCGTCTCAAGTAGGTCACCTACATACCCCATCAACGTCCTGATGGGTCCACTTAATCCCTATCGGCGTCGCAGATAGGTCCACTTAATCCCTATCGGCGTCCCAGATAGGTCCACTTAATCCCTACAGGTCTACTTATACCTCACCGGCGTACCGGATGAGTCCACTTAATCCCTACCGACGTCCCAGATAAGTCTACTTATACCTCACCGGGGAACCGGATGAGTCCACTTGCATACTTAAATTATTTTTAAATCTCTTTAAACATTCGAAAGTAGCAATATCATGTACTCAACATATCACTGAAATCATTAATATGAATTTCACTTAAACCATTAATAACAGTCACTCTCTATAACATTTCAAAAATAACCAATCAAATATTTTGGGCTCAAATTTAGAAAGGTAGCAGTTTGTAAAGGCATTCTAGCATAATTGCCAATTTAATATGTATAGAAAAACTCTTATAGAAATTCAAGAATACGGAATTATCACAATTTATGGGATATCAATCCACAAATAAACATTTCACAACAATA